GAAATGATAGTTATTTTAAATTTTTCTGGACAATTACTTTTGGTTTTAATTAAACTGAGTCGAGTGTGTTTTCGACCTCATTCCCAGGGTCCTCTCCTACCCAGCCCATCTCTCGCTCCGGGGGCCGAGTAGGAGAAAGAGGATGATGTAAACACACTATGCGACAAGTTGGCGATAGATCACTCAGTGTGTACAGGTCGGGAGACTAGTTGCACCCATATGTCGCTGCGACAAATCGCTTCGTGTGTGCTGGAGACCTTTTGTGAAAATCTTTGTCTCTGCGACGAAATTTTGTCGCTGCAACAAGTCGCAAAAAAAAAATTGTGCGACTTGTTGCCTCATCGCATGTAAGAAACGTTACAGCTACGAGGAGCGATGAGAGTCGGCTATTTTGGCAGGTTACTATGTTTCTTCACCAATGCGTTTTTCACTATTTTCACATAGACCATAATGCACCTTGTTCCCCCGCACCCCTCCCCCACACCCCGGGCCCCCCACTAAAAATAAATAAATAAATAATAATAATTCATAACCATTACTCCAGTTTCTCCTGGGTATTACAGAGCCCCCAAGAGAAATCGAAGGCAATAGTTCTGCAAAATTTTGTTGGCAAACATGGGGGATCCGACAACTGACTGGTCAAATCGTGGTTTTTTCCGGTTCACTTTTTAAAAAACCTGAATATTAAGCATCTTTTCCATCCAATAGACCTTGTCACGGTTTTCGACGCCATCTTGACGAGTAGGCAAACGCGTGAGAAATTACAGTGTTTGTATGAGAATCTAATTTCGACTAATTTCTGTAGAACAGCTGTTCGGAAAAAAATATGATTTGTAAACTAAAGCTTCACTCCTAAGGATTCTACTTAAAAAATTTGAGGGCGTTACATGTACTAGAAAACCTAGAACCACTTTTTAAATTTCCTATACATTTGTCTGTTGGAAAGTCCCGGAAAATTACAGCAAATATATGGAAAGTCTAAAGCAAGCCTCTGGAGAAATTTAAGCACAGGTACGTCTCCGAACTTTTTTAGGACAATCCTTTGCTTTGTAGCTTTAGTTTACAATTGATATTTTTTTCAGAACAGCCGTTTTAAGGAAATTAATCGACATCAGATTCTCATACAAACACTGTAATTTCTCACACGTTTGCCTACTCGTCAAGATGGCGTCGAAAACCGTGACAAGGTCTATTACCATTGAAATCCTGCCTTTAATTAGTGTCATTTGTTTTTCAGTAGTTCACAAACAACATTTACGAGTTTACAGCAGTTTTAAATCCTATTAAAATTAGCCTCCCCGCAGACGTCCTTTGGGGTTCGTTTGTCACACATAGAAATGAATGCGTGACAAACGAACCCCAAAGGACGTCTGCGGGGAGGCTATATTAAAATACGATTTAAAAAGCTTTGCGTGACATGTCTCGCGTGACTTATTTCAACGAGTCGTCAAGTGCCGCACCTAATATTCGTTTCCTTGTTGCTCCGTCTTAGTTGTCTGAGTTGGGATTTTGGTCGGGAAGGGCAACACTTCCCTTTACCACTTAATCTCAGTGTTGTGTGCTTTCAGTTGACAAATTATGTTACACACGGATCCAGGTTAGTGTTAAAGATCTTGATCCTTCAACAATTGTTCAAAGTCTAAACGAATGTAAAAAAGAAATTGAGCGGTATAGACATGAATCTTGAATGTCGTCTGGTTATGGCTTCACGGTTTATTCGTGTCTGACACTGAATTTCCGATCTACACTTGCAGTTTTCAAGCTGCTTTTTATGCTCTTATTTTACCACTCTTTTACCTGTGTTTGTTTATTGTTTCGGGTATTTCGTGTTACAAATCATGTCACAAGTCGAGCCTGGAGGCATTGAAGGTATTTGTTGTAGAACTGTCGTAGACCGGCCATATTGGAATTGGAGCGTGTTAGCTCAAGATTACCTTGTTGTGATTTACTACTCCGTATACGCGTTTGTGAGTCGCTGGTAAACTCTGTCCTTGACGTCAGTTGAACAATCATTTGGATTCTAATCCAAAAATGTTAAATACTGGTAGATTTAGTGGTGCATCTACGTTTGCAAAGGATTCCGAAAGGGGGCACCCAACGACAGTTGGCAGTTCTGAAGGTTAATTGTTCGCACCTCACTCCCCAGGTTATGCTATTTTTCGCAGAGAAAGGAAACCTAAGATTTTCGGATACGCAAATGCGATGGAAAGAGGAATCGAAAAATTGCCACTGTTGTAAAACTTTAACTTGCATCTAAAATTTTCGGGAAAATGATACCGAAGCCCTGGGTAATTTCGAAAACAGTCCAGTTGCCTTAGGATAACCGAACATAGATAAATTTTACTAGCGGTGATTAGAGTGTATTTCTAAAGATCCAAAAGTACTCTGGATAGCCTAAAAAGCGTTTTCAATGCATTTGGGAGGTAAGCGTCGTTTGGTGCCTCTGTCCGATATGTGAGTGTTATAGTTAAAACTTCATGTTTCTAGGTGCTTTCCCCGTTCAAAAAAATGTCACGTTGGTGGCCATACTGAATTCAGATCTACGTTTACACTAAGCCATGCGAAGACTTGCATGAGATAGTCACAAAAGCAATGAAATACTCTGAAAAACAATGAAAGTCAAATGTAATTTCCTCAAATGACTGGGGCCTTCCTCTGACTGGAGT